ATTATCTAGTGGAAAGAATAGTGGACTTGGATTCACTGTTTTCATCCCAGGTCCCTTGGACAACTCATGTCAACTGTCAGAGCCTCTGGTCACCCATCTGTAAGACAGGACTCTCCAGTGTCCTTTCAGTCTCCACCTCCCCAGAGTGTTCTGAAAGTGAGGATCGTACACAAAACACAGAATTTCTAAAGTGCCCACCGTGTGCCAGGCGCTGTCTGGGGAGCCTGAGATGACCACTACCTTGACTTCCTCTCTGCTCCCCAGGTCTGACCTAGCGCCTCCTTTTTTATGAGCTCTTCCCAGTGTGGCCAGGTCTCCTCCAATCAGGAGAGACTTCCTCTTGCTCCTAATTGAAATATCTTTGATTCAATAAGATTTCCAGATCTTGATTAAACCTAGTGACCATCTAACGTCTTCTCTCCTGATAAATGTATCTGGTCTTAGCATCTTCAAACTTACCTTAATTGGATCAGTCTGGTTAGATTGCTTCACATAGTCAATTCCCACCCTTATACTACACCAAATTAATTTCCCTTAAGCATAAATATAACCCTGTGAACCCCTTACTCAATTCAGGGCTTCTCTGCCTCCAGGACAGGGATTCTCAACCTGGAGCCAACCCAAAAAGGTTCCTAGAAAAACTTTAGATGGTCTATGATATTGGATGGGGAAAATAAACACATCTTTGTTTTCACTCATCTCTAACCGAAATTTAGAAATTCTCTTGAATTATTTTAAAATATTATTCTAAGAAGGTGCTAGCTAGACTGCCAGAAGGATCTCTCTGTCTGTCTGTCTCTCTCTCTCACATGTACACATATACACAACTGTAAGATAAAATATAAGTTCTTTCGTTTCACTTTTCAAGCCCCATTCAGTTCACATTTCCAGCCTTATTGGACTTTCCTCTCCCTTCCACACTCTTCTACCCAAACAGAATGGCATTCTCGTGGATTTTCCAAAAGGACACTACCCGTCCCATCCTTTGAATTCATCTCTCCCCATTCGTGGAATGTGCTCCCTTCTTACGTCCACTGCACAATAATCTTCTCTTCCTTTAAGATGCATCTCAAGCACAGCGGCCAAAGAACCTTTCCTGGATTCCCCAGCTGCCAGTGCCCTCCTTCCCAAATGACTGTGTAGTTAGGCCAGTAGGGGGCACCAAAGAGCACAGAGCACTGGGCCTGGAGTCAGGAAGAACTGAGCTCAAATCCCTCCTCAGACACTGTGTGGCCAAGTATTTAACATCTGTTGGCCTCAGTTTCTTGGGCTGCAAAATGGAGATAATAGCAGCATATGCCTCCCAGGGTTGTTGAGAGGATTAAATGAGATCACACTTATAAAGCATTTAGCACAGTGCCTGGCACATGTAAATGTTATATAATGCTATATAAATATTAATTATCATTATATAATTAACACATAATTTTGTCTGTATAGTTTTCTACATATGCTGTATGTATTTCTATATGTCCACATTGTCTCCTTCATTAGAATATGAGCTTCTTCCAGAGATAGCTTCATTCTTTATCCCTGTATCTACAGCACTTAGCACGCAATTGGGGGACAGTGGATGAAAAAAAATTGGGGGTGGTGGAAGCATAAGGAAAGAAGAGAAGAGAATTTTGAAAAACCGTTCATATGTGTTTCATCTGTGGTGTGTAAAAGAATTATAGTTGTAGACATTGCATTATTGCCAAATGAACACACAAAATTCAAGTTATAACCAATCAGTGGTCAAGTCCACCAACAGGTCTTAACAAGTGAGTACTGGCAGGTGAGCATGTGGTGCAAGTCCTGAAGTCCAAAATGCATCTGCAGGAATATGTGCACGTAATGACTTGTTTACATTATGATACTACACAGTTACATGGCACAATATTGCAAAATCAAAATTTCAATTCAGGAAAAAACCCACAAATTTACAAGAAATTGTAAAATTTAAGATGTATTATTTTTTCAAAATAATTTTTAAAAATCTTTTATATTTTTTGAAATGATGCGAATTTCAAAAAACTGTTAAAGGGTTTTAAAGAAAATAGATTTCCAGGGGATGCTGAGTAATGTTTTTTAAAAGGGGGTAGTAGGCCAAATAAGTTTGGGAACCTCTGTTCTAAAGGGTGGAAGAGAGGAAGGGGAACATTCTAATCCTGGGAGACAGTCCCAGCAAAGGCCTGAGATGAGAAATTGTGAGGACAACAAGAAAACAGGTTCATATAGTGGAAAGAGCTCCGGACTTGACTGCAGAAGACCTCACCATCAAAATTCATTTTTGGCCAAGGCCTGACACAAGGTGCCATTCCCATATCATTTTAAAGGCCCTTGGCAAGCATTAGTAGGTACTAAAATATCATTATCCCTATGAGGAAATGGGGGCTTCCAGGGAACACTTTCCATGCCCCTGGTAAGCACTGGATCCCCACCCAGGTCACTCCCAATTCTAAACAGAGCCTTCTTTCCAAGCTAGAAGATTTACCTGGAAGCTGAGGCTCACTTTCTTGTGCTTTCTGTGTGGCCTTGGACAAGTCAGCCCCTGCCTGCCCCTCTCCAAGTATTCTTCAAAAGCAGCTCCCGGGGCCCCTCCACATAATGCCTCTGCTCCTTCCTACCCCCTAGCTCCTAGGACCTCCTCCTCAGCTCTGAGGAGATTCCATATAGAGCGTGAGTATATATACAGGAATCTACATCACCCCAATGCCAATTACTTAAGGATTGGGGCTAATACACTTCTGTTTTTGCATCTGCTGCACCTAACAACACAGCCTGACACATAGCAGGTGCTGAATAAGTTCCTGTTGATTGATCGGCAACTTCTTAGCCTCAGTTTTCTTATCTCTAGAATGGAGCCCTGTTTCCAGAAGTCATTATCTCACCTACTTGTCTATGATGGTGAAACATGATAACGACAGTACTTTATAAACACTGGAGCAAATATCTCAGCTCCCTGTTACTGAGGACCTTTCTTTTTGATTCTAATCCTTAAATCTTTTTTATTTATTTTTCCATCTGTAGATTAGGGGTAATATGTACTTGACCTGGGTAAATTAAGTCCCTGGGGGAAAATCTGGAGCCTCATCTAAAATTCATAATCTTACTTGGCCAAAGGGCCATCAGTCGTATTGAGGAACTTTTTGGTAATTAGTAGTATTCTTACAAATTAGGGGGAAAACGAAATGCATCAATAAAATAAAACACATTTCCGCAGGATGAAAGGGATTTGGAGTCTTATGGTCTGGATTCAAATGCAGCCTTGGCCTTCTGTTTAATCTTGGACATCTGCATTTCAGTTTCCTCATCCACCAAATGAAAGTCACTTGGACAATCCTTTCCAGCTGTCAGAAGGTCTTTCGTAGGGGGAATTGTACCGATGGAAAAATGGAAGCTGAAGGAGAGGAAGCTGTTCAGATGCACATGGAAACCTTGACTTGCAGCTCCCTGTCAACCTCTACCAGTGTGCCTTGACTCCCAAGTGGGCTGGAGAAAGCATTTCCAATGTTCAGGAACACTAGGACGTAGCTTCCATTTGGCAGCATGTGGATTTCCTCTCAGCATGGGCAGGGGTGCCTTTCCTGGTGCCTTTCCATGTAACATGGTGGCAGTGAGGGGGGTGGAGCAGTGGAGGGGAAGAGAAAGTGGAGGCTGAGATAGGAATCTAACAGGATTATACAAAACATTTAGAGATAGTGGAAGGAATTTAATGAAACACTGGGCGAATTTGGTCATCAGTTACTCAACTAGAACCCCAAGGCCAGATTCCATGGTAATATCCCTGTGTGCCTATGGAGGCATATTTACATGACAAAAGCCTGTAAACCCTTACTAGGAGGACCCGGCCTTCCTACTCATCTTTTCAATCTTATTTGTGTCTCTTTCAGTGCTAGCTTTGGGATGACTGACCCCAGGGCACAGAATGCTTTCCACTGGGGTAGAGAAACATTATGAAAACCTGGATTTGGAATTACAGAGGGAAGGGCTGGCCAATGACATAGTCGAGTCTGGTTTGGGGCTTTTCTTGGGTGTCACGCAATGCTGGAGGAGGGACTGATGGATCCTAACTCTGAATCACTTTTGCACAAACTGCTTTCTTGTGTCTCTCTGAGCTCGTTTGTTCAGATTGAGGTAATGGGCTTCAGTGTGCTGATGTGTGATGGAAACAGCCCCAGCTCTTCAGGTCACCCGTGGTGGAGTGGCAGACCAGAGGGATCAATGACTGTGTGTACCAGTGGAGCTGGGAAACAGTAGGAAAAATGTCACCCCCAGCCCTGAAAACCAGGCAGCTGTCCACAGTGCGGGCAGCTGTAGTCTGATGAGGCAGGCACCGTCACAAGCTTTTCTTTTTCCTTTTCTTCTTTTTTGTACCTGTATGTGTATATTTCCTTCAATAATACACTTCACAGACACCTGCCCCCCCCTTCATTTTTCTTCTTAGTTTACTTTCTTAAGTTGTACTAACTTTCAGAAATTACTTACATTCATTAGTGAACTAGTGGTGGTATGTCTTCTTCCTTCCTTCCTTTCTTTCTTTCTCTCTTTTTTCTTTCTTTCTTTCTTTCTTTTTCTTTTCTTTCTTTCTTTCTTTCTTTCTTTCTTTCTTTCTTTCTTTCTTTCTTTTCTCTCTTTCTCTCTTTCTTTCTCTCTCTTTCCTTTTTCTTTCTTTCCTTCTTTCTTTTTTCTTCCTTCCTTCTTTCCTTTTATCTCTCTCTTTTCTCTTTTTCTCTCTCCCCTCTCTCTCTTTTCTGTCTGTCTCTTTCTAACAAGGGAAAGTTCTGCCGCTTTTGCTCTGTCTCCCTGTTGTTGTTTTTTTTTTCTTTTTAAAGATTGGTGATAAGGAATTCTAACCACTTAATGAGATGGGAGAGGCCTCACTCCATTGGAGTGGAGGAGTCCAGGTGGAAGTTTGATGGATTGGACAGGTAAAGTGAACGGTCCCGCCCCTTCATGCCTATAGTTGGGTATATATAAGGAAACCTTAAATTATGCAGGGAAAGAGAGAGCAAGCCTTGAGTGTTGTTGTCTTCCTAGGAGAAACCTGTGTTGAGGGTCTTCGAGGGGGTGGGGGGGTTGCCAAAATCCTGGAGCCAGAAGAACAGACAGCGACGCTGATCAACCTCCCCGCTAACATGCTGTACCTGGAGAACAATCCTCAGACTCAGTACAGTGAGGTAAGGGGCTGCTGGGGACTTTGGAAGACACCTTAGAGATGCTCTGTTAGTTGGATGACATATGCATGTAGAGAGCTGCATATATGTTTAATACAGATAAAATATATACCTTGCTAGAGAGACAGAGAAAGAAGCCAACATTTAGGGCTCCTGGTCACCCATGTCAAAGTTGTAGCAAATTACATATGGGAATTTCAGTTTGGGGAAGATTCCATTTGGCAAATGCAAACTTTTTCAGCCTGGGAAGTGTAGGAGAAAGAATTCAATCTGTGTTTCTGAAGAAATATATTGTTGTCGTTGTTATTTTCCCTGTGGTGAGTTTTTATCTGTATGTAAATTTATATTTAGGAAAGCAGGGTAGATGGTCAGCAGTCGTTGGTCCCCACATGCATAAAAGGCTCCCATGTCCAGCAGCTGTCACACCAATGCATCAGTTGGGGCAGCATTCCTAAACACAATACTCCCTGAAGACTTGAGTCCTGTGAAAAGCAGCTAAGTTTGACGTGCAAATCCACTACAAACTAGTGAAAGCTTTAAAGCCATCTCATCTCTTCTGACTGATTCCGATCTTGGCCCTTTTCAAATCCTAGTCTCTTTCTCAGAAGAGACTTGGTAACTAGCACCTAAGTTACCTGATGGCAGCCGGGGAATTCCACAGGACAATAACAATCGGGAAGGATGCGTGCCTATTGATTAAAATCAAAAGCTAGATTCTTGTCCGTGTGGTGATAAAGAATGACCTGTTTTCATCTAGCTTCTAGCCAAGCACTTGTGACATCCGTTAAATAGTCTGGGGTTGATGTGAGTGAGAGGGGAGGGCTGGAGGACCCCGGCTACCACCACCTCAAGGGCTTGAAGGAAGTCTCCTGGGGTTGAGGGAGGTCTCACAACAAGATTAGTTTACATTCCACAGAATAGAGCAGCTGTGTTGACATGAATCAGATATTTTTTTTTTTTTTGGTGGTGTGGAGGCGGGAGAAAGAGTTCAGGATTTCAGACAAAAATGCTGAATGCTCGTTGGTGGCAGACAGACAGGCCAGGCCACTTCCATCAAAATAAAATATTCTGGAGCATTTTGAGGGGAGGGAGGAAGGGAGGAGGCCAAAGTTGGCACAGCCGGCCAGGGAAGGCTCATTGTTTCAGGTTATAGCCGGGACACCTGAGTTCTAGAAATATGATCAGGGAAATGTTGAGTGAGCAAGAGAAAGACTAGGGGGCCCTGATTATCCTTCTGAATATGTTCTCGAGTATTTGAGATTCCCTCTTCTGCCTTCCAGGGAGGAATAGAATACATTGGTTTGTTCAAATTGTTTAAAGGCTAATAAAAAATGATTTTTTAAAAATGAGGCAAGCTCTCCATGTTAAACTACTCCTGGTGGTGAAATAACCCCCTCGTCTAATGATTGAAGTAAACTCACTCCAAGACAAAACGAGGCCAGGGTTGACCAATGGATTTTTTCTGAGACTGTCTGACCCCCACTAAGATATTGGCATGTTATCATTCATGCATGGTCACACATGCAGTATTTATAACCTCCAAACCCACAGGTTTTGCTTTTTTAGGTTGCATGTGTGTGGGGTGAGGTATTGGTGGTGGTAGATATATATGTATATATATATCTTTCTTAAAACAAATTTAAATGCTTTGGTAACTCTAGTGACAGGTTTCATCATCAGTTTTGAGGCTTATATAACATTGGGAGAAATTAAGATCAGATCATTGTGAAGTTAAATATTAAATTCATGAGCGAGAAATCAGTTAAATCCATCAGCACAGTAAGAAAAGGGGATCTAGAGGCATTGTTCCCTTCCACGGGTAAGCATGGTCAGAACATCAAGGGAATTAGAGTCAAGACTTCTGAACATCCCGCTTGCTTGTCAAAATGCCATAAATTGGGTTAGCTTTATGGGGGCCCCCTTCAGCATGAGGTGAGATGGTCATCATTTGCCAGAAGGATCTCTAGATCTGAACTGGTGCCGGCATGAGCTTTGTCTAGGTACTTACTGATTTGAAAGTATTTGCAAAAAGATGTTGGGGTGCATTGTACACTCTATAGACTATAGGTACTACCCCACTCCCAAGGTCAAGACTTGTAAACATAGATTTTCCTAAATTAAAGACTTATCTCAAAGAAGTATGCCCAATGTCCATTTGTGAGGTGAGTCGCCGATTTCACCTAGGAGCTATCGGTGTCCTTAGAGTACATTTAGCCAAGAACCAAGCGTGGCAGTCTTGAAATTCCTTGGGAAAGTCATTGTATTCATCCCCTGACACATCTTGAGGTCATGACTGATGTTGGGAAGTACAAACCCAAGCACCTGGATAAACCTGCCTTGAGATCAGGAAGTGGCATGGGAAATGGACCAAATACTGGACGCATGGGCCAAAGACTGAGACTCAAGTTCAACTCTGTACCCTAAATGTCCCAATTAAACTAGATGACCTGTAACTCACTTAACATTTTTGAGCCTCAATTTCCCCATTTGTTAAATGGGCAGCATAAGGCACATGTTTGTTACATCACAGGCATGTTATGAAGAAAGTGCTTTGTAAAAATGAAAAAGCTAAATCAAAGTGATTTTAAAAAATGGATAATAGTATATATCATATATATCATTTTTTTTTCAGTGAGTCTACAGGAGATAAGCTTGTAGGTTAATATTTTATTCAGTTAAAACAAGTTATTCAGTCATTTCATCTACCTATTAAGTAATCACTAGAACATTAAATATATATGTATACGTATGTGTGTGTGTATATAGATATAGATAGATAGATAGATAGATAGATAGACAGACAGACAGACAGATAGATAGATAGATAGATAGATAGATAGATAGATAGATAGATATAGATATCTAGATCTAGATCTGGTTTTGTTTTTTTCTTTTTAATGAGAGCAGGATGGTGACTTGCCCTAGGAATATTTTCATCCCAAACACATTGAAAACTCTTGAAAGATTGAAATGATGGGAATGCTAATTAGGGAGATCGTAGGAAGAGTGAAAAGAGAGAAAAGCCAAGTAAAGTGATGGTATCATTAAAATCATTATTTGTGACTGCCTGGAAGCATCTTCTCTCTGACAACTGACAGTGTGGTAAGGGGAGATAGGGGCTTTCTACCTCACCATTAATTGCCTGCTCCCTCTCCACCAAAACTCCTGAGCTCCCAACTGGAAGCCAAGGAGAAGCTTGGGAATGTTGCAGTTGAACAGGAAGGCATTTCTGCTGACATGAGGAAAAAAAGCACAAAGGCACAGGATGGGACAGACCAAATTTGAATTTCTGAGTTCTTAGGAATCCTATGCCTAGGCGATAAGCAGAATCCCCAGTATTGGATGTTAGAATTGGGGGAAATGATTTTTCTTAGTTTGTAAGAGAAGGCGTCATGTTAGCTGAAGATTTTTGCTTTGAAATGACTGTGTGAAAGATTTGCCTGGAATTCAGACATTCCCAAACTCACAATTAAGAAGAGTTCTCACCCTGAGGTGATGGGAGACAAAAAAAAGGTTTTGTTGGCAAACTGTTGATCCTAGAACTGCAAGGGACTTTTGAGCTCACCTGTTTACACCCTTTATTTTATGGAGGAGCTGATAATTTTTTTTCTTTCTTGAGTTGAGAGATATCTAACCATATATAAATATAAATATATATATATATATATATATATATACACACACATATAACATATAAAACATGATGAAAATATAATAGCTAGAATTTATTTAGAGAACTTCAAAGTTTGCAAACTGCTGTGTACTCATTGTCAGGCCAATACAAGCCTAGATAAGCTTCTACAAACCTGTGAAGTATGCGTCCTCCAAGTGTTCTCATTCCTGTTTCACAAATGAGCAAAATGAGGTTCAGAGACAATGAGTGACAGAACTGGATGCTGAGTATCTCCTGATTCCAATGTCAGCGGCTCAGATTCATGTTCTCTCCTCTCTCTGCTCGCCTCTTTCTTCCTCTCCTCTCTCATGGTTATGTTCATATACATATTAGAGACACAGCTCTAGAGCTTAAGGAAGGACATGAGACCATCCAGAACAGTCTCTTCATTTTAGAAGAAAATGGAGCCCGAGAACCTAAATGACAAGAAGAGATTGGAATATAGGTCATTAGACCCAGTGCTTTTTCTCCTATATGAACCTTGAATCTGATTTATATCATGTCTAAGTAGGTCATCTCTACATGATTGTGAGGATTGGCACAATGCAACATCTAACAGTGGCCAACCTGGGAATCTCTGTAGAACCACGTCAGTCTTGGATCAGAAGGGCGCCATGATCTGTCCTTTCCTCCATGAGGAGAAATCATAGGCATTTAATAGAACTACCAGGCAGGCTAGATCAAAGAAAGTGCTGCTTTCTGTATGATCACTGACTAAAGAGTTGGTTTAAATGAGGTGTTCTGTCTTTTAAAATACCATTAGTTTTCTCCTGCAAATTAAAAAAAAAAAAGACTAGCTTTCTACAGAGAGGAGAGATAATTTGTGCTTAGAAGTTTGGCAAAAACATATGACTAGAAAAAGAGATGGACATGAATGAGGGAGAACAAATGAAGAGCCCAAGTGACCCATTCACACAGTCTTGATATTTTCTTTTAAATGATCACATCTTGAATTGATTTTCTACAAAGTACTTAAGGCTAAAAAAAAAATGAAGGAAAATTCCATGAGATTAGCAGTTGTCCAGGAGTTAAGATGTGTATAAATGGAAGAGGAGTGCCCATGTCAATTAAACCATGGATTCATGAAGGAAATAAAAGTATCTTATTGTCACTTTTGTGTAGGCATATACAGATAAGTTGGGAGACTGGAGTGTTAATATGGCCGGTGCAGTGGATTGCATTCCTGTGTGGAATAGTTACCTTTACACTGTGATCTGGTCGTAAGATGGGAGGGCCTACTGTGTGCCAGCCACTATACCAAGTGTATAAACTATCCCCGTGATATATCTTAACCAAGGGGAAGGGTAGAAGGAGTTCAGACAGCTCAATT